CACGAAGACATTATTTGTCATGTTCCAGTCAGCAATGCCATTGATTTTTATGGAAGCCTAGCACAGAATGAAACAATAGGACCAAATTCAGAATGAGTGTAGAACACAAAAATTCACAATATTAGATGTGTGAAATATCCCTTTTTTTTGATTTACACTTTTTTTTTTTAAGTGCACATTGTAGTGTTAAGGAAACCAATATTTACATGAAATGTTGATCCTGCAGTAAGTCAAAGAATCACAGAACTACTGGTTATAGGGGTCCTATGCAGATCATGTATTCTAACACCTCTACTGAAGATAGAGCAGGTTGTCCAAGACCTTATTCAGGCTTTTGAATATCTACAAGGAACGAGACTCCACAGCCTTTGTGGGCAACCTATGCCACTCACTCTCACACTAAAGTGTTTCCTGATGTTTTGACGGACCCTCTTGTGTTCCATGTTGTGCCCAATTGCCTCTGATCCTGTCCCTGAGCACCACTGAAAAGAACCTGGCTCCATCTTCTTCAGGTATTTATAAAAATTGTTAAGATCCCCTTGATTCTTCTCCAGGATACACAATCACAGCTTTCCCAGCCTCTCACATATCAGACGCTCCAGTCCTTAATTGTCTTCATGGGCCTGCAGTGGACTCACTCCAGAAATTCCGTAACATTCTTGTACCGGGGAACGCAGGACGGGACAAAGCACTCCAGATGTGGTTTAGCCTCTTCCGTGTAGAGAGGAAGGATCACTGCTGGCAATGCTCTGCCTAAGGCAGGGCAGATACTGTTGGCCACCTTTGCCTTGAAAGTATATTGCTGGCTCATGGTCTTTTTGTTGTCCTTCAGTATCTCCTCAGGTCCTTCTGTGCAAAGCAGATGCAGGAACTTGCATGTTTCTTTGTTGAACTTGATGAGATACTCTTCAGTCCTATTCTCCAGCCTGTCCAGGTCCCTCTGCACCATGTGTATATGTTCTGCTCCACATGACTTAAAACAAGAAACTCAAGTTAATTACCTAATACATGAAGGATGGAGTCTTAGCCCTCCAGGGACTGGAGAAAGAACTCCTGATAATCTCAGTAGGACTCAAGTTTACCTTCAAATCTCTTAATTATATACTCTGATAGTAAACATGTAGACAAGCTAAAGGAAAATAGTAATTGAAGCAGTCACTTCCAGTTACTTCATCTGATATTAAGGATTATTTAATACATCCTGAGCTAGGAGTTTAATAGTAATTACAGATTTCAAGATGCATTGTGTATAAATTACATTAGAGTGTGGAAAACTGGACAGAAAACACCTCACAGACTTATTGGACCCCAGAAAAATATATATGATAATAGCATACATGCCATATAGTTTCCCTAGAGAAATGAAAGAAGATGGGAAAAAGGACTGAAATTGATCTTCATATGAAGAGGGAGCTAGGAGAAAGGATGGGTATTAAAGTTCATATGAAGAACTGCTCTTGAAGAAATAAAGTACTAGGTATCAGATATTTATAGAAGTACCTACATCTGGATGATGAGTGTTACTGTTAAGCCTAGTACTCACAGCCAATTGCCATTTGTATTAGCTAACAAAAGAATTGTTGCATATTTACAGTGATCTTCGTTTCCAAACTCTACACACAAAGATGATCAAATTTTTCAAGGTCAGAGCACAGTTCAGAGTCGAGTCTTTTTAGGAAAACAGAGCTTTTAGAAAATACAGAACTACTCCTGAATATCCTAAACAGAGCATTGATATGTTCACATAAAATTCACTGCATTTCTGAAACATGAAAATTATGAAATCCAAGAATACAAGCATTAATTGAATGCTACATCCCAACCGCTATCCAATTGCCACACAGGAGTGAGTTTGTTTCATTTCAAGGACTGAAGTGATCTTCCTCAATAGCTCTAAAAAGAGGTGAAGCTGTTCTGTTTGCCTCAGCATGCAGACAGTGAAGTTTTAACTGAAGACTTGGGCTTAGTACACCTGGGCATGCCCTCTTTACCTTGTGTCATGAAAAAGAGTCTAAATAAACTTCATCAGTTATGGAGAACACCAATGGTTAAAGACAGACTTACATGGTCTTTAGAGTACTTCTACGTTTTTTTCCTTTCATAGTCAGTTTTTCTAGAATTTACTTGCAGCTTCATGAGGAGAGATGGAAAACTATTGTATTTTTCTATTCTCACATTGAAATGCCAATTTTCTAGTCTCAGTAGGTGTCATGTTGTCTATCCTTATCAAAATTATAATTAAAATGTAAAGCACCAAGTCCTACACAGCTGTCCAGTTCATAAATCTGGGAAACAATTTTCTTAATGCTTCTCCATCTTTCCCTAGTACAATTATAATTGCACAAGTTCTCTCCTTTGTCAGTATACAAAAAATCTTTTTCAAATTTGCTGTTCCTTTGTTGCATATGAACAAAAAATGGTGGTAACTGATCTGTCTAGAGGAGAAATAGTGTTGCCATATAGCTTGCCATTTTGAACACAAGTCTTTCTTTAAGAAAATATGAAATTCTCTAAGAAAAAAATTACTCCCTGACCAAGCAATACCTAAATCATGTGAGACACATCTCTGGAGTATAACAGGATCTCAGACTAGCTTCCGAAAATCAATAAATGTATTTCAGCATAGAAGGATCTTTGCTGCCTAAAACAATCTTTATTATCTATAGGCCAAGAGGGAAAGATACAGATGCAGCACAGAAATTATATATTCTTAATAGTCTCTTAGGATTTGTACATCTTACCTGTCTAAGTACACTTCGGCACAGAATATTTAAACAAGAAAAAGTGTCTTAGCGTATCCTTAGCATTATCTGAAGTAATATCAGAACAGATATTAACATCGTGCTTTGTCATTAAAAATATATTCATTCTCATGATAAAATATTACCTTAGCCCATCTCATTTTCTAGATTTGACTATTTGTACTAATGATTTTCAAAAGTATTCATAAAATCTGAATCAAAAACCCAAACAAACCAAAGCAATGGTTTCCCAGACAACACAGCTAGAAGAGCTAGTAATGTTTCAGCAGAAACAGAACCTTCTATTCAAATTATAAGTATTGTTTGCAATTATATTCATAGCAACACTTATCAACAACATCATGGTACAAAGTAGGTAAGAGTTTTTGCAAATTTCATTTCCCTCAACCTTCTAAGATATTAGTAACATATTTTTGAAAAATAGTTATGCAGCCTATTTGTGTAGCAAGTCCACCAGAAAATTCTGATGAGTGCAGGTTCTGCTTCCAGCCACACAAGGACTAAACCTAAAATGAATCTAAAAGAAGCAACAGAATCTATTTAAGAAGTATTCTTGAAATTAAAAATTCATTTATTTCATTGGGGTATATTTTGACAAAAGAGATGACTGATTTTCAACCCCACTGATTTAGGACTTGTTAAAAAGGACTTCCTAATATCTTAGGCTTTTGTGAGGAACATAAACAAGGTGGCAAGGATTCTTTTTCAGCACAACTGATTTATGATGTTCTAACAGAAAATTCTAGTTACTAGTCAGCATAACTAGCTAGAAAAGAGCCATAACAACTGAAGAACTTGCAAAGTGGTAAAAACCCCCAGAACTTTGTCCGTTCAAAAAGGCTAATATTTACTCCCTGAAGAATATAACTACTGTTGAAACAAAGTCTAATCTTCTTGGAGTTCTGTTTCCCTCAGTGAAAGAGAGTTGTTTAAAGATTCCACCAGAGTTCCAGAACAGGTATTACCATTGAATCAGAGACTTCAGCCATACCAGAGCAACATGAAATAAAAGAAGTTTTTAATAGCATTATCTACTATTGCTATTCATGCTGAAAGTTATCCTCTCTATAAATGAGAATGCAAGTGAGCGAGGCACAGGTGCCTTGGTAGACCGAAGGTAACTTATTGCAGCTTTACAGGCAAAAATGGTGTCCTACAGATCTGAAAATCACACAAGTTATCCTGTTTTCACTGTATACAGAATCTCACGCATGCAGAAAGGGTTGCTGTTCCAAAATGGAAAAGGGTCTTACATCAGCCATTTCCTTTTTTTTAATTTCTTTCATTATCAAAAACAGTAATAAAATAATTCAATTCCTGCTCATGAATCCTAATTCCTAACTTGATGTAATCTACATATGAATATAAATCTGGTGGTTACATGCTGAAGAGGCTTTCAAACAGCTATAGAAGGTTTTTTTTTCCTTAACCACAGGTTTTTCAGTTGTTCTTAGGAATTCTAAAATTTCATACATGCTTAATTCAACCTTCACTTTTTAAAAATTTTTTACATATTAACAAACCAACTAAAATCCATACTTATAAATCAAACACTTTACTTTTAAATAAATAGTTGTGAATTTTAGCATTTAGACATTAAGAGTGAAAATCCTGAACTTAAGGTATAGCATTCCAAGAAACTTATAAATGAACTCTTGACAAAAGATTCAAGAAAATATATTTATTCAAATTTGGCAGAGGAAGAAAACATAATAAATATGACAACTTCTTACACCCTTCTTTACAAGTTATTTTTATATCACACTTCTGCTACAAATTTCAGTGTTTCAAATTTTAAAAGAAACACATTCACTGAAAAATTAAGACCTTCTAATGTGAAAAAATACACAAAATAAGAGTGCAAATGTTTTATTTTTTGTGGCTAGTGCTTAATCTTCAAGTTCTTTAGAACACTGCAAGAAATGCTTTAGATCAGTAACATTGAGAACATCCAATTAATACTCACAAGTATGTTAAGTGAATAATATAGATTGTAATTTTTCATGATATAACATCAATTTGCCTCTGAAATAACATTGAAAAAGACTTTGCCAAATTTCTGTTATTATGATAACACAAGCTTTTTACAAATCCCCCACTCAAATCCCCAGCTGAAGCAAAATGAATCTAAGTGGAACCTCCTCAAAAGAAGACATCCACCAGGCAAGCACTATTTCCATTCTGACATGTTTATACAGTTCTTTGGAGTGCAATTGATACTTTCTCAGCAGAAGCAGATTCAAGTCCATTAGGATTTTTATTTTCACATACAGCAACCGGGGCAGCAATCCCTGAGATTCTCCATGAAGCCTGTAGCTGTGTTTTGACAGCCATCATGTCTCGCTACTTTTTTATGTGCCATCTATTCAAACCAGTTTTCTTTCAATAAAAAGCGTACAGCATCATCAAAGCCATTTTGGTACAATGATTCCATTTTCTCCTGGTCTGGTGGGAACAAAGCTTGATTAAGTCTTACCAGGTTGGCCAGTGACAGCTGCAACAGAGCAAGAAGCTACAAATTAGTTTGTTAAAGCAACTTATCTAGATGTGACTGTTCTGTCACGTGTTTCATGCAGCATATGCAAAAACAAAAGAGCAGCACGGCTGTGTCTACACCAGGAAATTAACCACGTCCAGGTTCACTGCTGAGCGCCAAGACAAACTGGCAAAAACACCACATACACACTATTAAACTCACAGCATCCAAAACAGACTGTCTGCCTGTAAAACTGCCCAAAGTTTTTGAAACACTTTAAGTCTGGAAACACTCCCAAAACTGTCTGGCAGGGTGGTAGCTGGCACATGCTAAACTTGTGCAAGGAAATATTTTGACAACTTACTAGTGCAAACAACCACATCCTTGGGAACATTCCCAGGCAATGTTTACATATGAGTATAAACGTAGCTTGTATTACCAACAATTAAGGAATACTCAGCTTTTTAAGTGGTCACTCCAACATGTATAAATTTTTTGGAGCTTTATTCTTGAAAACAGACTTTATTAAATTATGGCCAAATAAAAAATGTAATTAAATTCAATAAAATTTAATTAAATTCAATAATGTTCTGAACAATTTGTTTATAAAATTAACTTCATATTTTAGCCACATACTTTATTATACACAATTTTGCTAAACAATATCAACATCATCTTCATTATTTAAAGTAAGCAATTATTCAAATTCATTCTAGAAGATGGAGGAGATTCAGAGACAAAAAATTATTAACATTCCAATACAGATAAATGAAGATATACAATTCTTCAATTTATGCAGATTACAATATTGCTGAAAAAAAAGATCCTTAATGATCATTCTTACAGTTTTAAGAGCTAGAGATGCTTCAAATCAAATAGTTTAAAATGTTTCCTGAGATTCAGCACAAGTCTGCACATGCATGACCCCAGAAGCAATTAATTTTCTACTCTAAACTAAACTAATCATCAACTAATTTTTCCTCCTCTAGATACACAGTAAGTGATTGTGTATATTTTCGAGATATACTTTATGACCTTTTGCCAAGCACTACCATGCTTAAAATCTCTCTGTGAAACATTATAAAGATTCAGAAACTGGTCCAATTTGGAATGACATTACATAACGCTAATTTTACTAAAATTAAGAAAACATTAAAAACGGTCTAAAAAGAAACTTAAAGTACCAATTATTGTTAATCTTTATTGTTTCTTTCTAATGGAATGTTGTTGACCACTAGGTCTATCATTATTCAATATTTTCTTTCATCATGTCAAAAGAAGCAAGACTAGTTAAAGTGTACGAGACAAAGGTTGCAATAACATAAATGTCAACATTGAAAAGGAGGTAATAAAAAATAGTCTGATCTTATATCTCAATATATGGAAATGTTTCTGAAACTTCTAACAAGACCTGCAAAACTGTTGTGGTCACAGGTGTTCACAAGCTCTCTTGAGCAATGCGGTGACAAGTTGTGACAAGTTTTCTAGGGTGAAAACTATCAAACAAGTCACTGTATACCATTTCAAATGTAGAACTTAAACTTGTATTTTAAATTCAGTTGGAGCAATAGAGTTCAATAAGTATGAAGAAAGGTTCTGGAGTTCTCCTTTACTGAGGTATTCAATTTGGTTTTTTTCCTATAAACACTGTACCTAGCCATAGACTGATGATATGTAAAGCAAGCCTAATATTATTTACACTTAACAGCTTGTTATAATGTGCTCAATTTTGTACTAGATCAATGATTTTCAAACTTCCTTCTTTATTCTACATTTTCCTTCCCTTGTGTCTAAGAAAAGGTTTAACCTTTTGCAAACCAGAAAACGCCAAAACTTTATGTAAGTTGATATATAACACAAAATAGACACTTAAACATAAATTTAACTGCAGAAGTACCTTTTATTCTTTTTAAGTTAATTAATAAACAAGTAACTCACCATCATATCTTGTTTTGCTAATTTAACATAAAGATCCACACGTCCTTTATCTTGTGGACAGATATCCAATCGACCGCTGAAAGGAGAAATCGTCACAGTTCTTCCAACAGGCAAGATAGGAAGGCCATTGGTAAGGCCACCATCAACCCACTTCTATTGGGAAACAGAAATATTTTCCAAGTTACTCTAGTACAGTATGATCATAATGGAATACTTTTTCCTTCCTGACCTTGCCTCCTCCAGTCCACTCTTAAGAAAACGTACAAGCTTCCTTCTAAGAATACAATGGATAATATCGAATATGTGGCATAAATATCAAGGAACTGACAAAGTACACGCAGAGTTATGAATCAATGACCATTTGACATAATGTGCATATTTGTGTGTAATGTATTTATCAAGCTCCGATAAGGCTCGTTGATTAATCTAATAATAAAATGTCCCCTACAGAATTTTTCTCGACGCACACATGAAAATGTAAGACTTTTAATATTACACATGAATCACATTAAATGCTGTATATTCCTCTAGAACATTATTCTGATTGACCCGAGGAACTGCACAATCTGTATGTGCAGGTAAACTGACTGCACAAGCAAAACTACACATCACTTCTACCCTCTTCTGTGGTTCTTCTTCCAGAGCCTCATGTCCTACATACACTACACAAGACAGCATCAGCTGGAAAGTGGAGGGTAAAGGTGGGAAGGAGTTAAACAGCTATGACATAGGAGGGAGCAGACAGGAGTTAAGTATAGTGAAGAATGAGATCTAGGGGCACAAATCTGATCTTTAGAAGGACCACGGCCAAATTCCATTCCACTATAAGCAGGACAGCTGTGATATTTCTTACTAATATATTTTATATCTTCATATTTCTTTCTATGCTTACATGCATAACCCAAAACCCCACATCCCTCTGCTGGCTAGATGCATTCACTAACATCATACATGAGGTCTGATGACCAAAAGCATCTCACTGAACTTTACACATCTAAATTCAGCTAGTAATTCTACACTTCTTTTATCATCCAAGGGAGAGAAAACAGTCACAAAAGTTAAAAACACTCCAAATCAATAAAAAGCTCTCACAAAAAGTGTATGATTAGGAAGCTTTTTACAACATTTAAATGTTTGCACAGTCTCCCCACACCACCCTTTTCTTCACTATCTCAGATGAAGTTTATGTTCCTGATTTCAAAATATAAGCTATAAATATTAACATTCAACAGTTTCTATGGCCCTTTTCATCCTGTTACTTCATTGTATGCTTTAGCGTTTGACTCTTGACGTTAGCTCATGTCAGCACCCACAATGCACCACTGAATTCCTTCACTTTGCACAAACATCATATTTCTCAATGCTTAGGATTGAGATTGTTTTGCCTTAGAAAATAAGGCAAAAAAAGAATAAAATTCCAGAACAACAGCTATCTTTCAGATTTCTCAAACTTCTATTACAGCACTGCTGTGATAGCTGTGAGTAGAGCTGCAATATACCATAACATTTCTAACAGCACAGCTTTTTTGTGTGTATCTATAAATAGTAATTTATTATTGATTCATATGCCATGTTCCTTGTAGTAGCAAGTGGCTTTTTGTTGTATTTCCTACTGTGAAAAGTACAGTGGATGCCCTGTCTAAGCCATGTCAAAGAAAACATAACAGATGACATTATTAATGTTTTTCACAAGTCTAGCTTAGCACTGTTACAACTTAAAAGTTCTCACACTTTTAAAAATTCTGATTATTTATTTTTCTCCCCTCTCCTCTTATGTGACTTCAATATTTATTTGAAAACCAAAACATTTACCAGGGCATCTCAGTAATTTTTATTTAGCACTAATTTCTATAGATTCTGTTGTTTTATTTTCTTTTGAGCATTTCAGCTAAACTGTTTTTCAGTCAAAAATACTTTATCTCCACAGTCCCTTGTGTTTCATAGTTATAAAACATTTATTTGCTACAAAGAAAAGTGATGTCCCAGCTTCTTTTAATTTCATTAATCAATTCTTGAAAGGTGCTTCTTAGCTGATGAGACAAATTCCTAGTAACTACTGAATTAGCGTCACTAATATCTTGTACAGTGCAAAGACAGAGAAAGTTTTGAAATAACGTGCGATGAAAACCAAACCAGTCAATGAGAATGAGGATGTGGGCTTGACCTAACAGAATCTACCCGTTTATCAGTTTGGTTTTTACAAAGTTGTTCCATAATAACTGCAGTCACACAAACTACAGACTCATCATCAAATACAGTCAACTCAATCATCTGCTCATCTTTATCTGTCTTAAAAATAACCTTGTCATGTTAAAGGACACCAAACTAAGTCAAAGAAAGATAATTTCACACGGAGTAGGTTTGCACTAGTGTTACTGGAAGCCTAGTCCAAGGGTACCTGAAAAACCCAACCCAGGTAACAAGTTTTTAAGGCCACAAACAGAGAATAAATTCTCAGATGTTATCCTACACTTCTTTCTTTGTCAGATTATTTTTAGGTTCATCAAATCAGAAGAAAACATAATATGAGGAGATTAATGTTATGTCCACCATAACATGAAATTTAGCTTATCCATCTCAAGAGTGTAGCCTGCAGGAATGCACACTTACAGGTAAACTAGCTAAACCCAAAGTGAAGCCAAATGCTCCCCAGAAAGTGTTCTTCCTAAAAAGAAAACTAAAGTGCCATGAATTGTAAACTGAATCCTAGGGTTCAGTCTCTGAAGGCAGTATGGGTAGGCCAGCAAAAGGTTTGGCTATATTCTGATACTATTTCAGCAAAAGTGCACCATACCTGCTTACTTACAATGCATAATGGTAGTAGTAACATAGCAGAGGTAATATAGTGAAATACATTTCAAAAACACTCCCAGATGATGTGGTGCTATGTGTGCAGGTGATATATGTAGCTCAGAGAAGACCCAGATAAGGCCTGTAGACTCAGGCAGCCAGCAGGCAGTAATCTGAATTCCATGCTGCCAGGGACCTATGGCCCAAGGAATTTACCTCCTGGAACCAATGTAAATGCAGACAGACAGAATTCTGGTCTGTTACAGTAAAGCTTTCAGGAAGCTTGAAATATGATGCTATATAATAGGTGACTGTGCAGAGCCAAATCAATATCCAATCCATCTTACTGACTTAGTGCTTACCATGCCTGGAACATGATGTTACATGCCATGTATCTGGTTCTACCATGTGTGCTTCTAGGCCCTACTACACACCCACATATCCTCATTCCAAACCAAGGAAATACTATTGCAAGAGGGATCCCAAGGTTTTGCTCTTATCCCGCTCTAAGCACTTGGGACTAAAGAATGGAAGTCACAAGAATCTACAGGCAACAGTTTTCTCAAAAAAAAAAAAATTCCAATCCACAAATGCACTGTTTCACAGAATATGAGAAAAGTCAGTGCAGACATGCAGAACTAATCATTCCAAAAAATAACAATAAATGAAAGCAACCTCATTCCCAGAAACTGTCTTTTCTGCATCTCACTAAAGGAGAGCAGTAAGAAGCTTTGGGAACAAAAAGAAGCTTTCAACTAAGAGAAGAATCAGTTTCCATGAAACCTTCACTGATTTAACTTTTGAATGCAAAAAATAAACATAGGCAGCAATGAGAACTGTCCCCCAGAAAAAAAGGTTGCAGTAAATACTACAGGGCTAAAAAAAGGTCTAAAAAGGCTTCAGTAAATATTACAATACCTATTCAATCATAGTAGAACTGTTACTGTTCATCCAATAAAATGGGGTTTAAATAAGTTTTGGACAAAACTCTGGGTCAACTTTTCAATTTCTTAACTGAAAAGATTACCACAAAAAAAATTAACAATGACACTTTTTTCCCTTTAACTAATGGCAGAATGAACCTAAAAATCCAAAGATCCCCTTTGAAATGGAACAAGCAACATAGAGACTCCAATCGACAAAAAATTCCAGACCCTGGGAAGCTGTAAGCAGTCTCCATTTAACTCAAGCAGTCAAACAATACTGATTTAAACTCTTCAAATATTTCAGCTGATATGTATTGCCATATATATAATTCTCAAGCTGAAAAGCTTTCTGACACAACAACTATTAGCTAGGGGCAAATATATATGGTTTTGTGCAGCTTTTTGGCAGGGTGGCTGTGAGGATTACAGAGATTTCAGAAGAATCATTTGTATGAATACAAGGAAATAAAGGAAGAAGTATCATGTAGTTTTTCTCAGAAAGAAACAGCTATTTCCATGCTTCTAAAATTATTCTTAGAGTGTTAATATATTTATGTGAGATAGACAAAAACGTTCCTGGAGCTAAATTAAGACAACTGTGAAAGGTTTTCTTATAATAGTGTATACTCCTGAAAATTTCCTAGCTGTATGCTATACAGGGAAAAAAAGTTTATTCTCTAAATGTTTTTCCAAACGTAAGGGATTTGAGGGCACCTGGTAAGCATGTAATTCTATACAGAACATGAGAACAACACGCATGAAAACACATGTACTCCAGCACCATCCAACTTGCCAAGAACCTCCCCTACCATTCCTTCCATCAAACAGAAAAAAGATTGGTGGTTCTCTAAACTGCAAAATAAACCATTTTAAAGCTGGTAACACAGCTTGTGGCAAGAAGAATCTTTAGCAAAACAAGCTTCTTCTCACGGTAAGTGTCAGACACTATCTTTAGAAACAGCTTCACGCTACAGAGATCATTTCAGTCTCAGCACCCACAATTTCTGAAACAACACACAAGTAAACTCGTATTAACCTTCCTGGTGTTAATCTGCAACATCAACAGAAACAATAACTGTCTTACAAAATACAGCACTGCAGTTGCTTTCCCTTAATATCAAATAGTTATATCATAAATAAAGAACATATAAAAAGAAAGTTGGTAGTTAATGAAAAATTACCTCTCCTTTATATTCCACAGGCTTAATTCCTGCATATACTGGTATAAAGCTACTTGCTAGCAGGACCTAGAGAGAAGAAAGCAGAAAGAATAGAGGAAAAAAAAATGAAAGAAAGGCGTCAAAGCAATTTTAAATGAATACATATTTTCATACCTATTTATATATATTAAATAATACAGCAGTAACCATGGAATATATTAGTTTTACATAAACCCACTGTCATCTCAAAATGTCTTCTTGTTGTGGTATGTCAAAATGTGATTAAAATTATTCAATAGGGTTGGCTTTTTTTTATGACTTGACAGTGACAGCTCTCAAAACAAAATATCAAAAATTAACTCATTGACTTATGTGATTCAAAAGAGTATGAGCTTAGTTTTGCACAATGTAAAGTATGTCTATAGTTTTGCAGAAACTAAATATGCATATGCCGAAAAAAAAGCAATATATTGTCAAAGAAGAAACTGACCCAGTCATTCTATTAGTATATTAATATAGTGTCCGGTCTTCTAATAAATCAGATTTTCAAACTTTCAAAAATATTATAAACATCCCAAAAATTCACACATGTATATCTTTACCAGTATCAGTACTTTGCATTTAATACATTCAATACTTAACAAATTACTATTTCCCCTACTGTAAGTGTTCATTGCTATCCACAGCAGCTCTCAGTTTTTTGGGTTTTTTTTAGATCAGGACACTGTTCTGTCATGTACAGATTTGCACACACACATACCTTTCTATCCATTCATAGCAATACCTGTGAGAGAATGTGTTTCTCTATACCTGTGTATCCACTCACATATATATATAAGCAATCAGTATACAGCATTTCAAAGAGAAAGGGAAAATGCACGGACAAAGTGCAATATGTCAGAATTTTTCATAGGGCTAAACAGGGTGAATCCACGTGCTTGTGTGGCAGCACAAAAAACCAATTTGGGGAACAGAAGTGGGTCCCAAACTGGTGTATATACTACGTGAAAGATCAGATGCAGAAAACCCCACAGTCCATGGAGATTATGGAATAAAATGCCTGAGCTTTTTTGGGTGGAATTACACTTACTTTTACAAAAAAATTAAGCTACTTTCAGTACTAAGCACCTCTGCTCTCCTAAAATTTTAATTAAGACTGTATATGTATATGAAGTCTTCAACTTTCACTTTGAGAACTCTTGCCTATTTCTCTTCCTAGTGATGTAGAGCATCAGAGCTTTGTCTGAGCTCAGATAAAAAGGCCTTCTCACTTTTCTTATGAAAACTGCAGCTATTCCTCTTTCCTTTCCCTCACAAAAGCAGAACATAGGACTCCCAAGTTCCCAACATCAGCATCTTCCCCTGCCCAACTCCCTTTCTCCTCTCTCCTTCAACTCTACCTCAGTAACTTTGGCCCTTGTAAAGGGAAAAAGGTTTAGTGAAAGAACAGTCAAAACCAGGTGACCTCTGCAAAACCTGAATTCTTTTCAAAAGGACTGAAGAAAGCAGTTGTTTTTCCTTCTAATGTCACTTAGATCTCAAGAGTGAGGAGAGGAAGGACAAATTTGAAGAACACTTTCAGTATTTGTCTACCACTAACAGACCACTGTGGACTTCAATACACTGCTCCCACCTTTCCAAGCTAAATACAACAGTCTTCAGTGCCCTGCTCCCTCACAAACACAAAAATCATGCCTCTCTTCCCTGTCACCTCCAGTTTAAGAACTGCAAGTCTAGGAATGCTGATACAAGATGACTGTCTTCACATATGTAAAGACTATTTCAAATGTGGGAGATTATTAACTGACTTTCCATGTCCACTGGGAATAATAAAAAAGATAAAAGCTTAACACTGTAGCAACATATATTCAGTTCAGCCATTATGAAAAATTTTGGAAACCATGAGGCTTGTTAAGCATTGAAACCAAATGCATATGGAAGCTGAAAGATTTCTGACAGAGGGTACAGAAGTTTTGCTGTTTGAAAAACAGTTTGCTCAGCAGTATTTTTATCCAGCCTTGGATGTAGCAGGTCATGTCTAGGCCTAATACAATCAAATAACCAAACAAGCTCTACCCTCCAAGCTACTGCAGCAGCCACCAACACTCAGACAGCTGTACACATGACACACACAGAGATGAAGGTATGCACAAAAACATGTATTATGAGCTGCACTGAAAAATCAGACAATATGAATGCATTCCAGTGAGCAATTATTTGTAATTTTATTACTATTATTCCAATCCATTTTACTGCTACCATAGAGAACAAAAGAATAGAATAAATCAAGGAGAGAACTATTGAAATACTAATAATATGTTCAAACTTCCAAGGTCATCCTGATGCTTCTAATTCTCTCCAGGTTAGAAGTTTTCACTGCAAAAACACATATACCCACAGAATAATAATCTCCATGCTTGTCACTGCCAGTTATTTCTATAGCTAGAAATTACAGTGCATAATTTGAGACAAACTTTTTGCATAATTATCTTTGCATGATGAAGTCTTAAAAAATTATGAGAACTAACATAATAGGATCAAGATTTTTAAAAATACTTTAAAGGTAAACTCCCAATGTATAGTTTGAGATTCTGTAAACAAGTGTGTTTTTTTAAAGTGATAACTATAGAGAAAGTCTTATTTGCTCTAAGCATCCACACGGATAGAGAAAGGAATTCCTCCTTATTCTTTTTCCTCCTTTATTCTGCTATAGCTAATAATAATCCCCACTAAGATACAATCAATTACTAGAAAGAACACATTTTACATGCATCTGACTTCTTCCTACAATTTCATATCAGCTTATGTATTCAATCCTGATCTAAATTTAAAAAGTGACATTTAAATGAAGAGAAGGGCAGCAAAAGATATACTTTCCAGTACCAGATAAAATAGAGTTTACATACAGGACTTAACATTACATGATATCTATTCCCCACAAAGACCTATAGGAAGTGTTGAGGTTTTTTTAAGACTTCTTTTACTTTCTTTTGTGATGAAACTTAATATAAATAGTGTCAGTGAAGTAAGAGATGCAAAAATTATTATAAAATTTCGAGATTATTTTATTCTCATATACTGCAACAACGAGCTAACCTATTACTTTTTAAAAATATTTTGCCTAAAAGGTAGAATATACCTTAATAATAACAGATTAAGGAAACACAGACAAGCATAAAATGAATTTTAGTAAAATCTGTGAAACTGTAGGATCAAATTCTGCTTCCATTGTTTATGTTATGGTTGTAGCACCACTGACAGTATAAGTGGTTACTTGAGTAAAACAGTGATTCATTGTACAGCTAATAACATACTCAAGTCTTGAAGAAACTCAAGCATTTTTATTTAATACAGAAGTATTCAACTTCATTACCTTAATGAGGTCCTCCCTGGAGGAAAAATTTGAAACCAAGCGATTTTCCCCACTTTTTGAGTTAGTGACTGACACATAGAGCCGGTTCTCAGCTATCTCATGAACATTAGCAGGAAGAATAGACTCTATGCCCTCCCTAGAGGAAAGAAAACACTCAACATTACTCATCATCATTATATAAAAATGCTGAAAATACATTAGTGGTGAAAGAAAGAGTGGTGAGCACCCCACAGTACAGAATTAAAATGATCTTTATTTGCATTTGGAGAGCCCAACACAAAAGTGATCTTATAGAAGCATTAAGATAGGTACCTAAGTGTTTTCATAAAATCATAACCAGGTGTTACAGCACCGAAGTTCAGTTTTCTGACTTCCTCTGCAAATCCATAGGCAAAGTGCTTACATTGCTGGAAATGAAAAACATTAACCATTAAGGATGTTTCAGTGACGGGAAGCATGTTCAAGTGTAGTACCTAAAACATACTAGAGGCTAAAGCTTTAACCAAGAGAGCTAAAAGAGCCAACTGAAATACATTCCCATATGTGTTTGGTTTGTAACAAGATATGCATAACAAAATGTTGATACTTTTATTAGGACTAATTTGTAAGAAAAGATTCCCTAATTAAAAAAAATATTATAAACTTTCACAAGTATACTACTTTAATAATCAAGGAAAGTTAAAGGCTATTTTTCTACACACTATCACTTATAAATAACCAGCTGCCTAAACCATGCCCTTACAAAAACAATAATTTATAATTCAATTCTAAAGCACCTTTTATTTTAAAGACTATTTCAGTACTAAAACCAGATACAATTACCTTAAGATGCTTATAAGCTTTAAAAAAACTAAAATTACTACCACTTCTCACCAATGCAAAAACCAAGCTACTAAGAAGTATACACATTTAATGAATACAATACTATGGAAGTATTTAATGAACGGAATATTATGATGGATGACATAGGAAGAAAAGACACCAGATAAAAGTCCTGCACCTCCTTTACACAAGTTGAAATACCCATCATTAATGGCTACAGAAAAATAGCCTGAAGTGTGATCTGTAAGAACTCCCAAAGGAGAGCAATGGAATTGGTATAATTTATTTTTTAGTCATAACATGCTGAAAGAATTAATTATGATCCTGAGTGCTTAAGACTCAGTATTCAGTATTTGCAATCCTTTTTTTATCCTTTCATGCAGATTTCCCTAATGATTTTAAGGACTTGGGAAAAAACTAAATTCAGTCTTATGCAGCCTTCTGAAATTGGTACTCTATAAATATAATACACCCATATTCACCTATATAACCATACGAAAAAAAGATAGTTTGGATTTCCTGGATTATTAGCTCCCTGCATGAAGAACAAATATGTTGCTAGTAGCTAGATAAATTATTGAGTGACTGAAGAAAGGTAAGAAAAAAAAAGAGAAGTGAATGTGTCCTACTGGGGAGGAGGATAAAGGATTTGATGGAAGGAAAACCAGGAAGGAGTTGGGGGGAGGATTAGCATGAGATCAGAATCAAGCTGACTGAAGCATTTTAACTTCCTCACATCACTTGAACAACAGAGCGCTCATCTAAGTGAAAGACAGAAATGTAGTTCCTGCATCCACTTTCTTTACATGGCATTTGAATAAATGTATTAAAGAAGTTCACTACGAGGTTCATATCTCTTAAAGAAGTGATCGTCATAAATACTTGTGTTAATTAATTTCACATAGGTTAGATTTGCACCTTTAGCCCATGAGGTACTTGCCATTGCGAGCTCCAAGCCAATTAAAATACATAAAATCAGTTATTAAGCCTTTAATTTATTTTACAGTAGGCAGTTAGGCTTCTTCTGTACTCAATCTGCTGGAAAGAGACATATTCAGACACATCTCTCTTTAAACAGAGAAGAAACCCACAAAACCCTACAAAGAAGTACCTTAAAACTACCATCTTTATATATACGAAGCTTTAATAAAGCAATGGGGAGCTAAGAGTAACAGGGAGCTGGATGAACCCAAACCCAGTTCAATAACAGAAAGCTACATTCCATATTACAAATGCTAAGAATAGACCATACCTAGGCCCTCAATTCCTGTTCCCAAAAGGAACAACTTCTAACAACTATGAATTATTTTAGAATTTTATTGCTAAAAGCTTTAAACAATACATCTAAAATTTAAATAGTGACTGAGGACATGTTTAGAAATTGTATCTATATTGATTTAAGCAAACTTGATATCAAATGTGATTAAAGTACTTTTTTAATAAATAGGTATTTATCTATAACTGTATATGCCTCCCTAGAATTCTGAAGTCCCATGCCTTTTCAGCAGTGATAAAAATCCAAGATACGACAGAAAAACATTTGGAAACTGTCTTATTAAAACAGCAACAGTCAAAATAATAAACCCTCAATGTTATATTCACTTCAAGATAAGGACAGGTTGCATTAGAGCTTTGAGACTAGGAGATGCAGAAAGTCCTAATTATGGCTTGTCTAACATTGCCATCTCTGGGGAGAGAGTTAAAAACCAGAAAAAATAATTAAATGATTAAGAGCTATATCTGTGGATATTAAATATTTCAAGACAGAAATGTAGTAAAGATAATAATATAATTATCCTGATAGGAAAAGTTAATTCTATTCAGTACACAACACTGCCTTTACTTAAATTCCATGAGAATTAGATAGAATTATTCCCCCTGATAAAATAGCTCTTAAATTTTCCATTTAAACAATATAAAAGAATAACTAAAACGTACATAAAAAAATCAAAGGCACTAAAAAGTTAATGCAACATTCTTCAGTTTGCAATAAAATGACAAATTTTCAAAGGAAAAATCCATCAGATTCAATATAATATAGCCTTAGTTTCCACAAACAAAAACTAAAAACTGCTCTAATATTTTTACTTAGAAATATCTTCGTAAGTTGGACCAGGCTGAGAACAAGTGCTTGTACCCAGAGCCTACAATAAGCAGAAAAATTTCCCTGGGCTAACAAAGGGCTGCTGTACTCACCACAGAGAAAATTAAAGTCAGAGGTACACATTATATCAGGCAAACTTGGAATTGAACCACCAGTCAGAGGTGACAGAAAGGGAGTTAACACCTGAACAGGATACGAGTAAGGCTCTTTTCACACCAGTGTAACTTGCCTAGTACCAAATCATATAAAGAATGCACCTGGGGGAGTCAGGCGGGGGAAAGAAGCCAGGGAAGAACCTACTGATTAAAGCAACAGAAGTATAGCTAATGCTGCAAGCTGAATTCATATCCCAGCAGAAACAACCAACACACAAACTAACAGAAAGATCAGTGGCCAAGTGTGGTTTGGTTGGGACTGTTATTTGAATCAAATGCAGTGAAATAAGCAAGGTCTGGAGAAAGTTACCCAACACTCACAGAACTGAAATATAAGTGTACTTAGACCAAAAACCTAACAGCCTGTTTTCCCCCACAATAAGACATTAAGGAAATACTAACATTTTGGTAATATCTGGTCCTCTATGTATATTAATGCAAAGTCACTACAAGCATTTCAGAAGGGCAAAGAACCTTAACCTCTGGGGAAAAATCAAACAAAAAGCAAAAAAAAACCTGTTATGCTCTCCCACAGAACCTCTAACAGTGCAGTCATTAAATAAAACTCTGGTGTCTCTACGTGACACCATATGCACAGTGAGAAAGGAGTGGCATCTCTGGAGAAAAAAGAACCCAGACATATGCATGCAGTGTGTCAGAACAGAATGCTGTAAGGGTTAATCCCCCCAGGAAAACAGCGGGGGCTACTGCTGGTGAGGAGTGGGCTGTACTTGAGTGTAAAGAAGATGCACAAGCCACTTCTTATACTGTCTAATGGAGCACAGGCAGCAAGAAAAAAAATTGAGCAGGTGTGTGGTGTTTATGAAGATACAATCCATCTACCATTTTCATGTCCTTTCACAGAAGGAAGAAAGGATGGTGTTATGCACTTGCTTAACAAAGCCTATCTCTAGCCAAGAAAACAATGATTCACTTTGTAATATATCACCATTAAGCAGATATACATTTTGGTATATTAAAGTATACTTGGTTGCCTACAACTCAACATTCACACACATAAGATTTCTATTTATGTAGCTTAAAAGATAAAGTTTATATGAAATATTTTTGTCATAAACGTTTTTGCCCACAAGTCACAGATGTGGTAAATGAAAATAAACACAATCCTGTTCCTAGCAAATAGCAAGAAGAAAAAAACAAGAAACATAATATTTTAATAAACTTAACTGAAGATGATTATATAAAAAATGTCCTTTGAAAATTATCATGGCCTATACCTACGGGCTTACTAATTTACCTCTATATTTTCTGGCACTGCTAACAAGACAGCGGCAGTCAGAGATCCCGCAGAAGCTCCCGCAAAAGCTTTCACATCTGTCAGTAACTTCTTACCATGCCTGTAAAAAGCAGCTGCTGCCCCCAAGTGGTAAACTCCCAGAAAGCCACAAGCTGCAAAGGACAGGTTGATGTGTTTCATTTGTGCTATGGAAATAAAGTGTCACAGTAAGAAAAAAGGATTGGTTCATTTCGTCTTGTAATATACATCTATTCTTTTGGCATAGAACACATAACAAACCGTATTTACATAACAAAAAGCAGTTTACTTAAAAGCAGTAAAAACTTCTGATTACTAAATACATCAAACAGTTAGTTTAGTATCTCCAAAACTGAAAACAACCCTAAAATAATCCTTAGTACAAATTCCTTTTTAAATCAATCAAAAATATATATCTTTATGTACAACATAACTACACATTTTCATCTAATTTGTCAAAGAAATGCAAACTAAAAGTAGCTAGTCAAAAGCGAAAAAAGAATGCCTTTGGAGAGCAAACATTGCTAGCCACCTTGACTAAAAAAGTCAAATTAATTATAAAACTGTCTCATCATGTAGTAACAGGACAAGGGGAATGGATTCAAACTGAAAGACAGTACGTTCAGATTAGACATTAGGAAAAAATTCTTTACTGTGAGGGTGGTGAGGCACTGGAACAGGTTGCCCAGAGAACTGTGGATGCTCCATCCCCAAAAGTGTTCAAAGACAGGTTGGATGGAGCTCTGAAAAACCTGGTCTAGTGAAAGGTGCCCCTGTCCATGGAAGGGGGGTTGTAACTAGATGATCTTTAAGGTCCCTTTCAACGCAGGGTATTCTATGATTCCATGATCATACTTCCCTTACACACACAGAGCCTTGAATCCATTATAATTCTCTAAAAAAGGAATTTTTTCTGTCACCTCTGAAACTCATTTACTTACTAGTATTACTAATAGACAAATTCTTAAAGTAATTGCTAGTTTAGAAAAGAAAAACACACAACATTGTTGCTACTATTTAAATAAGAAGGAATCAAAAATAATCAAAGTAAAATACAAAGCATTAAATGTATAAACACACACATAGTATGAAGATGTCTAGGGTAGAATTTAAAATTAAAAAACGCAAACAGGAAGCATTAGTTCAGATCATTTGGGATGGTTAACTAACTAAATAAAATATAATGCTGTACATTTTATTAGTTCTTCTGCTTCTGCAAATAACCACAATTATGGAAGCAAGGTATTCCACAGATTATATTGTACAGATATATGAGATATTGTACACGTTATCTTAGTATTGAATTAAAAATAAACTCCTACTATATTTGGGTACATCTCGATATGAATGGAAACAATCAGTCCTGATGAAGAGAGGCAAATGTACAGCAACATATTTTGGTTAAAGATGCCTCTTCAACTTTGAAATGGGAAGCGCAGGAAAGATGAGGATAAGAAACAGCTTTCAAAACCAGCAGATAAGAAGACATGTTCAACTCAGCTACTTTACCCATGGCATGATTACAATCAGACCTGATGGTCTAACCACGTTTCACTGACATGGAGAGAGAAAATCATAGTGCCAAGGAATATTTGGTGCATCAGTCATTCCAGTAAAACACTACACTATCATAAAGTAGTTTATCAGCTGTGCTTTACGCCCTTTGCACTGGAAACGCTTGCATATACACTTGTAAGTAGGAATACTTGTAACAAATCTAACACACTTGTACTCATAGAAAGTTTTAGAGGTTGGTTCTTGCTGTGACAACATGAGAGAAAGGCATTTAGAATGATGCAAATGAAAATCCCTTTATTATTTTTAAAAAGAAAGGATCTTTTAATTTAAAGAAAATTCACTGTACTGAATAGAAGATTAAAAAAAAGTTTACTCAAGATGTTACTGGAAAATAAAGAAACACAACCCTACTTTGATTTTATTTTTTTTAAGTAGAGTGGAAGAAAACTAAAACAGCCCTTGAACTTTGAAGTATGATGTCATGATGTGCTTTTTTTCAGTCTAGTTAAACTCTCGGGAGTTTAACCAACTGCTGCAGCTCTCTCCATGCCTTCTACAAATTAGAAGAAAAAGTGCATTTGCATCACAGGCCACTCTGACAAAAAGGTGAAGCTGGTTAAAGCAAATGCAATATTATGTAGGTATAAAAGCAAGCATGGGAGAATCAACTCCCATTTCTGTCCAAAACAGACCTCAAGGTCAAAACACTACTAATATGAAACATTATGTGAAATAAGGACTACATTTACATTGCTGATTGGTCAAAAACTCGTGAAGTATGAGTTCATAAATGCAAATAACTACATCTAAGGGACCTATGAAATATAACTAAGAAACACACTGTAAGATAATAGGGTTATGTAAATAAAAATAAACATGTGGATGCTTATGTTCATGTATATACGCATCCAAATCTTCTACAAGGCTAATACTCCAAAAAGTATCTCTCCCTTGTGGAAAATAATTAAATATTCACAAATCAAAAAAATATGAGAACTAAGAAGCATCTAAAGCATAGTTACAGCAAGAAACTTTAGATTGAAAAATTTTTTTCAAAAAGAAAAAATTCTCTACAAATATAGAAACAAACTTCACCGTATACAGAACTGGCGGGCACATTTTGTCTAAAGTAAGAACAGAAAAGGAGGCCATGTGAACTGAAGAAACTATTTGAATCTCAGACCAAAAACTGCTAAACATATACTAACTAAAGTCAGATATCCATGGCTTCTCTTACATGGCTTCATGAGGAAATTGTAGCTTCTTATATGAGCCTTAGTCCTATCTAGTTATCAGTTACTGGGAGTAACCACTGTTCTCTTTGAGTGTCTGGATACCTGGCATTCATTCACTCTTTGATGAGAGTTAATTTCTTAACACTTAGATCCCATACTTCTCTGCCTCCTTCATTTCCCTACCCAAGACACAAAAAGAGAGATTATTGAATGAGTATTCACATCAGTTATTTGACTGACAAAAGCACTTAGTGAGAGACAAACACAGAAGAAGAAAAAACAGCACTAAGATTTCAAGTCAAGGAACGCTGTTCGAAAACACTTTTATAAGAATATAAACTTTCCCATAGCTTTTGATTCTTGCAAATATGTCATGGTATCACTTGACTTGCAAATTATAATGGTGTATTTTAAAGACAGAATGATGCTAAAATGTCATTTGCTTTGATGATCTGGTAGATCACTTCCATTTTGATCAAAAAGAATAGTAGGGTTATAACAACTCCAAAGAGGAAACAGAGAGAAATTTAATTAAGTCTGCAGTATGACTATTCCCTGACAATTTCTTATAGAGTAACAGAAATAGGAGCACAGTCATGTCTGGACACAGACCACTTCTTTGAGCTGCCTGTGCAAAGAGCAGAAATCTTTGTATCTTAGAAATGGTATGAAACACCTGTTCTACAAGACTTCAGAACAAATATTCTTAGAAGGTTCAACATAAATTGTGACCATTAAAGATATTGATTCCTATGATGCAAAATTATCATATTACCATGTCTTAAGAAAAAAAACTCATTGAACCTTAAAAGATGCATAAGTACATTTCAGCTGGACAGTACACATACTGTAGAGATACGACATAAACAGGATATAGCAAACACTATTGCCACTGCTTTTCAAAAATGCTGTCATTTTACATGATTGGCAAAATTCAGACTATGAGGACTTCAACTGGCTAAGGGAATAGGAACGCTTCTGTTGGCTCCAAGAAAAAAAACAGGAGTGTAAGACAAGATATGTACAAGAAGAAATGAGAAAAACACTGGGGCAGTTCAATCTCATTACTTTACAGATAACGCAGGAGCATTCAGGAATAAACATAAACCTCAGAGTTCTCTTTAAAAGATTACCACATCTGCAGGGAAAAAAAAAATTTAGAAAAATTCACCAATGATTAAAAATCTACTGGGGGTTGGGGGCATTTCTGTTTGCTCAGCAGTATCTCATCCATTTGTAATGCAAACCTTCAAGGAAACATATGTAAGGAGACAAGACTGTACAGAAGAATTACGATACAGTACCATACAGATTTTTCAGGACAGGTATTGTCTTCCTGATTGTCATACACAAGAAATAGCACAACAGTTTCTCATGTGGCTGTTTCCTGAGCAACATAATTACATAAACATTGTATGATCTCAGGGTCTTAACCTGTCATAACTACCTCCCTGTCGTTCCATTTGTAAACAAAAGCTGAAAATGCCCAAAGCACCTGAATAAAAAAACTTTACAAACAAAAACTAAATATACATAGAATGCAAATGACCAAATACCCTGAAGCACAGGAGCTAAAAAGTATGATGCATAACAGCACATCTGAGGATTAGTTATTAGTGAAGAATGACAAAACAAGCAAAGCCACAGAAAGAACTCTCTAGCTAGGCAGCATTGCTAAAATAGAGGTCAGAAGCGTAACTACTGATTTACCTGAATCAAAAATCAACATTGACACAGAAATGTTTAATTGTTTTTTCACATTTATAACATGAAGTTCACTAGCTTCATCACAAACCATTCATAGTCTTCAGTGAATATAATAGTTCGATGAAATTGAAGCAAAAAGCATTAAAATAATAATAAAACAAAATAATAAGTACACAATCTAATCAGCCACTAAAAAACAGGAAAATTACATGTCTTCACAGACTATAAAAATTGCATATAATTCCCTTAAAATTAAAAATAAACACATCACGTGATATTTTTCAAATTAGGATTTTAGACCATCTTGACCCTTAATACAAGTTGTCTACATTGGGCAGGGAAAGCTGACTTCTTAAGAAGAGGGCAGTAAAAGGTTCAATACCTTCTAATGAATGATGACTTCCATCATGTACTCCACTGGAACTTTTTCCAACACGTATTTTAGTTCCCTCTGCACTAGCAGCCGTTCTTCTATCATCTACCGATTGCTTATCATTCACCTTGGAAACCTACAGTCATACAGTCAAATATTATTATTAAAAAGAGAAACAACAGCAAATATAAGATGACATTATTTAACATTAAACAGATTAATAAAGTCAAATAAAATAGTTGTAAAATCATCTAGATGAATTTCTCAATTGCTTAGCCCCCACTAAACTCGTTTAAACCACAATGTTCTGCTAGTTACACATGCAACAATTTATATTTTAATGATGAATTTCATTAGACATTGAAAAGGGAAAACATTGCCACTTGGAACAGTGAGAGTCCAAAATTAGTTTTATGTCGTTTCTCGCTATTTTTGTTTATCATGGCTAGGCTTCGCAAACGAAGATTTGGGAAGGACTCTACCCACATTTGTTACAAGCGCATTGGTGGCTAAAGAGGCCAATGCAAGATAGACAAGTTCGTTTGCAAAAGGCACAACAGAAAGACTCCTTGGATGGTATCGGCAAGACATATATAAACCCAAAAATATATATATGTATATGGGGTTTTTTATAATCAAACTCTTATGTTTTTATCCTCCCCTACCAATCCATTCCCCCCCACCTTTGTTGCACAATATTGTATCAGTAAGTCATTTTCCAGAGAATTCTGGTCCTATTTCTATCTAAACGACTGTCACTCTAACTAATCAGCCTGTCAGTTATCATGCAGTATTGCCTGGAGTTTAATTTGAAGAAAATTACCATTTCTTCCCTTAACTTAAAACTATCAGACACAAAAAGTTTCTTCTGAAACAATGGTACTCCAGTACTTGTTGCTGCCTGCCTCTTTATATAAAAGTGAAGGCATCTTCATAAATAACACTGCAAGATCAAAACCTTAGTTCTGTACATTCTAAAATAAATCATATTTTCACTGTATTGATGCACATCACTTATATCTACAGAGCATCACAAAAATACTTAACTGGAATTTAACTCTGGTACATCTTACAGTGCAAGAGTTTGGAATTCCAATCCAGAAGTGATGAGTTTTGGGAAAGGTGCAACTATACAGTCGGCCTTCTTTCAACCGGAGCAACAGTATTTGAGCACTATAAAGATTTTTAGCAGTCCACATTTTCTTAAAAGTGACGTCTGGATTCAGATGATGTGGTAACCAAACTGATACTCTGTTTTACCATAAAGTTACAAAGGAAGCATCAGTATATGAGCTTGGATTCCATAGAAGCACACACCAGAAACCTTCTTCTAGGTATAACCTGTTAAAAAGACATTAGAGAAAAAAAAAGTGTAGTTGAATGGTAAGTTGCACATCAAGGCCCTGATACTGTAACAAGGTCCTCTTCACACTCCTCTCACTTAAAACACACAAACACATTAACAGTTGATTCACTCCACAATGGTACAGTTCCAGGGAGAACTTCTGTTCAGTAGCTTCTCTCTCGGTTTCACCAGCCCCCATCTGGCACCCTGTCGTTCACCACTGTCCATGAAGTCAATCGTTCATTTCAGAAACAGAAAGGATTAAAACTGTAAATAATGCAAAAAGTAAGCAAACAAACTGTCCCTTATAATAAAAAACGTGAATACAGTGTCCCCTTCAACTTCTGCTGAAAAACGCCAAAGGAGTGATCCTGCAACTTCAACCAAATTGTTCACAAAAAACAACGTGGTAACGTCAGGACTCTAGTAAGAAAACCCCACAGCAGGCTGGTTGGTACACGGCAAGCCTTGTAATCTTCTATGCTACAAGCATATAGTAGGGGTTAGTCACAAAACCAGTGTAAGAATGGTTTACACCTCCCAAGAGTTTGACCATAAAAAATAATGTGTGGAAATACTCTCTTTTAGACGAAAAGGAGGTTCTCGACTAAGTCCAGTACAAACAAAACCGGTGTGACCCTGACCAGACCAGGTCTGAGCGGAACTCTGCCAACTTCCAACTTCATTCCAACTAAGTAACCGAGTTAGAGGTTTTCTGTTTCATCTCGTGTGCTATGAGACCCAACTACGCCGCAGTTGGGTTTTTCCTGCCCCCACTCCTGCCCAGCAAACAGCCGATACAAACAGGCAGAACAGAGCTGAAAGGTGAGACAAGTTCTTGAAAGGTAACGAGCACTGAACGTCCAGTGACAACGGCGGGCGCACAGCGCAAGGGGCAGTCCCTGCGCCCGTCAAACTCAGAGCAGGCGGGCGCTCCCTATGCGGGACACGTCCCTTCGGAGTCAACAACCCCGACCCCGGTCTTTCCCTGTCTCCCTCCCCGCAGGCTCCTGCCCCAGCCCCTCCAGGGGGGTTCTAACGCGGCCTACGCAAGGCAGAGGCGGCACCCTGCCCGTCTCGTCCCCACCTCCCCCGACAGCGGCCCCGGAGACAGCCCCAGCGGCGGGAAGCGGCTGCTGCCGACGGGTCGAGATCGGCTGCGGCAGCTCGCGGGAGGTCACGGTGGTGCCGCCCGGCCCCGGCTCCTGGCACCACCCCCGCGCGCCTGCGCAGCGCGGGCCCGGCGGGTGAGGAGAGCCCGGGGCGTCATGAGCGCCCGGAGAGGCCGCGGCTGCGGAGGGGGCCGTGCCCGGGAGAAGCGGCTGCGGGGGGGCCGTGCCCGGGAGAAGCGGCTGCGGGGGGGCCGTGCCCGGGAGAAGCGGCTGCGGGGGGGCCGTGCCCGGCAGAGGCAGCCCCGGCCCGTCCCCGCCGCCCGGCCGGAGGCCGCTGAGTGTGGGTGTGCCGGCGGGCCCGGCCCGGCCCCTCCGGGGGCTGTCGCTGCCGTCGTGTGGGCGGGTGTCCGCATCCCCAGCACTGCCCCTGTGCCGGGCCGCGCGCCGTGTGAGAATGTCCTGAAGCTGGCGGAGTGACCTCAGGGTGGCAATAAAGATTAAGTTTTTTTCCCCATTTTTTCATATAATCATAGAATCAGTTGGGTTGGAAAAGACCTCTGAGATCGGAAAAGACCTCTGAGATCATCAAGTCCAACCCTTGATCCACTACCACCACGGTTACTAGACTATGGCACTAAGTGCCAAATCCAGTCTCATCTTAAAAACTTCCAGAGATGGAGAATCCACCACTTCGTTGGGCAGCCCATTCCATTTTGTGAGTGTTTGTGAGTGTTTGTGTCATTACAGCCTTCTGGTGAGCAAGAGCCAGAGCAAACATGGGTCACAGATTCAAGATGCGGTGGATCTTGCAGCCAGCAGTGGATGAAGGAGGCGCACACTTTACTGAGGGAGAACAAAGATACCTGTGGGAGAGAAGTGATCATGTCTGAACTCTCCCTGGAGTCTGTCGGGTTAAAACTAAACTGGGGAAAAAACACTTTGTTAGATTTAACACAGATTAGGCTCTTTCACCCGTGCCATCCGTTATCCTTGCTTTTACTGGTATCTGAGAGATACTGGGATGGATTTGGAATAGAAGGAGGTGCAGCTGTTTTGGTGGAGGAACCCTGGCAGCTTCTGTTGTCAAAAGCGTTTATGCAGAGTTTAGCCAACTTTTCAACTGCTAAAAAGCAATAGTTACAAAACAGAGCCCTGGGATTGTTTTACAGAAACCACACAGTCTCATGGTGGAGTTACTGCCTGCTCTTTTACATCATCCTGCACTCTTCCCCATATTTACAGGACAAGCTTTTAGGTGAGAATACCAGATGAGCCCTAATGGTGAAAAAAAAATCTTGCCTTAATTATAGACAGGTTCTAATTTGTAGTGGTCAGTATTATCATTAGGACCACACTTGCACCTAAATTAATACTTGGTTGACAGCTGTGGGAAGTGCAAAGATCACAAACACCGGCAGAGGACCTTTCTCATGCTTTTAGATGTGTACTCAAGTACATTAGTTCGCCTCTTGTTCCTTCTGTACTGTGTCTTATCTATTAATAACTGGAAAATGGGTGATGTAGATTAAGCTTTCTGAGTTGGTGTAAATTAAACCTTTAATCATGGATAGTTACAAGTATAAACAAAGCAAGTCATTGCCAAGGACTGCAAATGAGCTGGTGTCTCAAATGTAGCAGCTGGCACTCAGAATCACAGAATTATTAGGGTTGGAAGGAACCTCTGGAGATCATGTAGTCCAACCCCCTGCCAAGGCAGAGTCGCCTAGAGCAGGTGACATGGGACAACGTCCAGGTGGGCTTTGAATGTCTCCAGAGAGAGGGACTCCACAACCACCCCGGGTAGCTTGTTCCAGTGCTCTGGCACTCTTAACATAAAGAAATTCTTCCTTATATTGAAGTGAAACTTCTTGTGTTTTAGTTTATGTCCTTAAAAAAGAAATGCTCGTGTCTTCTTTGGCCTAAAGACTTCTTAAGGGCATTGAGGTGTTGGAGCATGTCCAGAGAAGGGCAATGAAGCTCGTGAAGAGCCTGGAGCACATGGTCTATGAGGAGGGGCTGAGGGAGCTGGCATTGTTTAGCCTGGAAAAGAGGAGACTCAGGGTGACCTAATCGCTCTCTACAACTACCTGAAATGAGGGTGTAGCCAGGAGACAGTTGACCTCTTGTCCCAGACAGCCAGTGACAGGACAAGAGGAAATGGCCTCAAGTTGTTCCAGGGAAGGTTCAGGTTGGACATCAGGAAGAATTTCTTCATGGAAAGGGATGTTAAACATTGGAATGGGCTGGCCAGGGAGGTGGTGTAGTCACCATCCCTGGACGTGTTTAAGGAAAGACTGGATGTGGCACTTAGTGCCCTAGTCTATTTGACATGGTGTTTGATCATAGATTGGACTCAATCTCAGAGGTCTTTTCCAACCAATTGATTCTGCAAGTCTGTGATTCTTTGGCTCCCTATCTCAACTCAATCCTTTCTCTTTCCCATAGGTAGACTCAATCAGACCCTTATCCTTTAAGTGTCAAAGCTTATTTCATCTCCTGCGTGTTCACATTTAGATAAATTTATCTATATTCAACATTTTTATAGCATGATATACATATTTCATTCCTTGCTCCTCTAATAGTTGTTCTTTGTAATACTCTGACATTTTCTTAAGAATAAAATGTATCAAAAAAGGCTTACATGCGTTACATAAATGTTTCAATGATTTTACAACGTGGTATTTGTCAGAACAGGTATTTTGGAGCACCAATATAGTTAAGTTACAAGGCATTTGAAAGTGTGTGTAAAATCATTTCCCTTAACAGACTAAGCTACAGAAGCAAAAGATGCTTTTGGTAACAGCACTTTATTGTATTTTTGGTCAGCGCAATACTTGGCTAATATTGTGACTACTGTAACATGTCTCTGTCAGTAAGACTGAATTCTTACTTCATAGATTTAAGGACCACATGAAAAATAAGGAGAGATATAAAGAAAATCATCAAGAGTCAAACTTAACTTGAGTCTTCTTTTATTACTGACAAAGATTTTATCTGTATAATTCAGAAGTATGTATTTTAAAAATATGTCTCTTTTCTATAAACTGCATAATAAAATTTTAGTTGGGAGGATGGAAGATTCTTGTTATAGATAGCTATCATTAAAGGATTTAATGCAGGTTTTTTTGTAACAATAATTCAAATTGGCCTGTATCCAAATGCTGATACATGGATTGAAATGTTCAAGAAAATGTAATGATTTATGGCAGTATATTAAGATCTGCAGAAATGTGTAATGGTGCATCACAAGGAAAAGGATAAGCTTTTTTTATGGGATAAACATGAAAATAGAGGTTAGTGCTGAGCAACTGATACTCAAACCTAAGGATTTGACCGGTGACCACTTAAAAAATTTTCTTCATGTCAGTGCTAAAAAAAGAGGAGTGTGACTCCTTCTGTCTAGAAGTCCATTCAAGTGTCTGTGTCTAAGGATGCCAGATCCATTGCTGAAGTTACCCAGATACTTAACCACGACTCAGACTTTTGAGGAAATTGCTATGTTGGGGAGTTGGGGTGAAGCTGTCAGAATGTATGAAGAGGATGTTCCTGTGAGATGAGAAAGCTGCAATTGCAGACAGGGTAAGACAAGGGAAAGCACTGAAATGGGAAAGTATAAAAACATCAAGAAAGAAAGGGTGTCAGAAGGAGGCATGGTTGTGGCTGTGCTCCAGGGAGCTGTAGGAGCTGCCCTTTCTCCTTCCTGACTTTTGCTTTTCTAGTTAGCAGGGCAAAGTATATGCTTATGTCTTATAAAGGTGGTGAGCACAATGATGTCTAACCTAATAGTGAGCATTTATGTATAATAACCAATAAATATTTTTTATACTTCTAAGCTGAGTGTGTCCTGTTCACAGAATCACTTTGTTTGGCTAAGGTGTCCAAACAGGGACTCAAAGAGGCCTGATTACAGGACGCAGAAGTTCACAGGTAAAGCAAATGTGGGAATTTTCCCCCCAAAAAGTGAGCTCAAAAGAATAGAGGTACTTCCAGACAAAAACCATCTGGTTTTGGAGGGAGACCGGTGACTTCATAAGGTGGAAGACGGGTGGGATTAATCTGGAAATGCCTAGCTACAAAGGAACTGTGGGGAAAGGTGTTAACAAAGCTGAATATTTGTTATGAGAGAGAATAACATTAGTAGAAGGTTTTCAGAAGGAAAAAAACCCAAAAAACAACCGGACAGTTTGGCTGTAAATAAGTATGAAGGTGAAATGCAGTTTGTGGCATTCTATAGGAAGACAATTTGTCAGAGCAGGAAATGCCTTTTTTTTTTTTTAATTGCTTTTTCCAGTTCCTGTCCTACTTCATTTCAAATCTGTGGGAAACAAATATAAAACACTGGGACTACATCTTTGCTAGTGGACTTTGTTATTAAATGGTAACATTACTAACACCAAGACAACAGTCCACAGTTAAGAGTGGGCTTGAATTTCATAGAATAGGTACAACTTGCACGAATTGTTGGGTTTGTCAACAGGAAAAACATCTAAACTGCCCAATTAAAATTTTCCTTAGAAATGCTTAAAGAATCTTTTATTTGTCATATTTTATGAAATATGAATCTATCTTAAACAGCAATTTAGAAAGCTGGAATATAGGTTACCGTACCAGAAATTCATCAATCAATGGACTTTCCAGATGCAGCCCTATAATATGGCCTCTCAGACCTACATATATATATATTTATATGTAAAGTATGAGGCAGTTCTATTTGGTTGTATCAAGGCAGAAGGCTAACAATCACAGCCTTTCTGAACAAAAAGGTACTCTACAATATAGAATATTGGTAGAACATAGTAGTTGGTTAGTTCTGCTGAACCTTACCAGAGGTTCAGTCAAAGCCTGAAGGAATTTGTGTGAGTTTAGTCATATCCAACAGTGCATACTAGCCTTATACGATATAGCTTGCAGGCTGACCTGCCTGTAGTTGACTTGTGCAGCAAATGAGGCTATGGCTGACAGTTAACTGAATTAAACAGTCTTGTGAAGATTCACTGACGCTGTGCAATTTGAGCCTCCTTAAATAAAATGGTACAATATTACTTTGGAGGAACATGTAACACTAATTTTTCATGGTTATATGGATTA